CTCTAGATCTACTTCATGAGAATGCTCTAGATCTACTGCATGAGAATGCTCTAGATCTACTGCATGAGAATGCTCTAGATATACTTCATGAGAATGCTCTAGATCTACTGCATGAGAATGCTCTAGATCTACTTCATGAGAATGCTCTAGATCTACTTCATGGCGAGACTTCCGAAGGGTACAGAACACCTCCAGATCTCGATGATTGAGTGGGCCTGGTGGTGTTTTGTGGTGGACTACTGCTTGAGAAGGGCAAGTTTGATGACGTTTGGGGACCGACCTGTCAGCGCTATACTGTGGGAACATGTTTCTTCATGCTGCAAATTCCATTCCCCGGTGGTTGCACGCCGTGCGGCTTGGCCCTGGAGTATGAACCAAATTACGTATGTAACATAATATTACCTTTTTATACATCCTACTTGGGCAATGTAGCGTACCTGACTGCTTGGCCCGTTCTTCGAGTGGAACAGTGGCGACAGCGAACAACTGGCATGCTAGTTCCACGCTATATCCACATACCCACCCCAGAATCCCAACAAAGTATGAAACCATCGATTCTCTGGTGCTCTGTTCTAGGGGCATCGCAAAAAACGAGTCCAGAAAAAAATGGATTGAGTGGGAAGCTAGGATGGTGTATGATCTCAACTGACACTTCTTCAATTCAGCAAAATTGCATTTCACTCTGTACTCTGTGGTTTTCTTCATGAAATACAAGCAACAAAAGCACAGTTTGCCTAGTTCGTTTCGCTCTGGTTATCGGATGGGCCATAGTTATACATCCTTGGGCCACAATGCTTACGAAATGTGCACGGCTTTGGGCTTTTAATAAGTCTTGAACAATCGAGGGCTTCTCCAAATAAATCACTATCATCTCATACCCTTTGCTCTGCAGTGTCTATATACATCTTCCAGGACTACAAATGGTGCTTTGGCCTCAATGTTCCAGCTGGGGCTCTCGCAACCTCAAACAATTCAAACCACTAAAACCCCGGGAAATCAAGCCAGGCCATAGACGATACTTGCACGTGGGCAGAGCATGCATCTCGGTCGCAGTCTGAATGTTAAATACCATTACACGCTATATATTAAGCCATACCTACGGTATCAAAACTCGGGACATTTCGGAAGTGGCGAGCAGAGGGTCGCGTGCTTACTTGAGCAACTCGTCGATCTTGGCACTCAATGACAATGGCTTGGTCAACGACGAGTATCTCTCCACAACCTTGCCGTTTTTGTCCACCAAGAACTTCTCGAAGTTCCACTTGATTCTGTTGAGGCCCATGATGCCGGACTTCTGGCTCTTCAAGAACTTGTACACAGGGTCGGCGTTGTCTCCGTTGACCTCCACCTTGCCCAAAACAGGGAAAGTCACGCCATAGTTCAAGGAGCAAAAGGACGCAATCTCGTCAGCACTGCCCGGCTCCTGCAGGCCAAACTGGTTGCAGGGGAACCCGAGGATTTGCACGTCCTTGTCGGCGTACTTCTTGTTCAACTCCTCGAGCTCCTTGTATTGTGGAGTGAAGCCACACTTGGACGCGACATTGACAATGACCACGACTTTTCCCTTCAAGTCTGCGAAAGGGTATGGCTCGCCCTTGGCGTTCTTAGGAGCAAGTTCGTAGAAAGACATGATATTAGCTAATTTGGGGTGAAAGCAGCGGTGGGGGATTTTGAGCATTTGCGCACGGCTGAGCGGGATCATGGCGCTTTATATTCTCGACTTGCAGGCTGTTTGTCATCCGCGGCAAAACAGACCCATCCAGAGCCCAATATGGCCTTGGGGCGCTCGCAAAGCTTATATGCGGTAGAGAACGGTTGCGTGATTTCGGTTGCTTATTGCTTAATCCAGATTTCCTACAACTGCAGCCATATACATGCCTGCGGCGTCTTGTTGATGGGGTCTGCTACAGAGCGGCTGTTCTGTGGCACTGCCCTAATACCAAGTGCTTTGGGTGCTTTAATTAAGGCTCTAATTCTGGGTGTCTTTACTAAGTCCGTGCGCATTGCGAATATCTCCAGATTGAGGCACGTCGCCCTGCAGTCAGGAAAGGAGATGGATGGCACATAGCACTTGGAACACCATTGTCAAGCGGCCTTGTGTTTGCAGCCTCGGCACAATAGCACCAGACGAGCTAGGGGGCATGTTTGAGGTTTCTTTGCATTGTTGTTGCAGTGGACCGAGCCTTCATTGGCCCGGAGCCAGTGGCCCTGTATGCAGGCGGCTCGTTTTCTGCTGGCTGGGCCTATTCCAGCGGGACTGCGTCCACTTGCCTTTGGATGATGTTTGGTGCTATTTCGTATATTTTCCCATATTTTACAGCAGTCTGCTGAAGAAGGACTAGTAGAGAAGTATACGCACCTTTTGATTTTCCAGTGCTGTTTCTTGCGCAGAGAAATCTACGATTTCCAAAGACCTGCGCTTAAATTTTGAGATTTGAAAAGCCTCTCATTTAGAGAGTGGGTGACAATTATTAAGTTTTAGAAAAACCTCGTCTTGTTTGAAGAGAATGGGTAACAATCTTAAAAAGCTAATCCCGGGTCATCGGGAAAAATAGATGTTCTGGAAGTTTTCAATCAGCCGGTGAAAATGAAACCTATCCAGTTTTACTCGTGTCTGCTATCAATATCCACAGTAGACCCTCTAGAGTACCTTTGGGCTACTCGAGTATTACTGTGCTATAGAAATACAAAGGATAAGCTTAAAAAACCGGATAAATTATTAATACTTTCATTCCGAAAGATGAAGATAGCTGGAGCGAAACCCAGGAAGCATGAGCCCAGCTAGCTTGGGACATAATTGAAATCTGATTTCCATTCGAGCTGCGGTGAGCCCCAGCAATGGCACGGGCCGCAAGTCGGGTTTGCCTACCTAAAGACGCCACATACAATGACAAGCTTTGAACTAAGGTCAAGATTCTTTCGTGCTTAACCAAGCATTAAATAAGAAATCGCATTGTGCACAAGTACAAGATTCAAGCGCTCGTCTAAGTTTGATGGCAAAAAAGGTTATACGCGGAGGACGCAGCATGGTTACCCGGTGCTAAAGAGGACCGCTAATCACTACGGGTGCGCCACAGCTGCTGGCAATACGAAGCCTCGGCCCAAGTAAGCCAATGGGATCCATACACATCAAGCCGGCGTGTCCCGACATGCTGCGTCCGCCCACATCCGCGTATATCCCAGACATTCATCCACAACCATTTGAGCCATTTCTCCCTTGCTTTCGACAGTGGCTCTCGTACTCACACACTCACGCTGACGGTACCGCCTAAAGGAAGAACTGGTCTCCAATGACGCCAACCGAGCAGATGGCAAAGCCCACACCAGCAATCATTGACGCAACATTGTATGCCGCGGCCACGTTTTCCAAGTCCTTGACGCGCTCCTTCTTGCTCAAGGCATCTTCAACCTCGCTTTCGATGGCCGAGGGCACGGAATCCAAAGTCTCAATGGGCGTTTCGGGGGACGAGTCGGTCGACACAGAATCGTCAGAAACATGGATGTACGACTGGTCCATGGGCACGTCCTCTGTCGCGGGCTCAGGGGTCGTGTATTCCTTCTTTTGTCCCAGCAAGACGCGGCATCCGCTGGTAAGATTGGCAATTTTCGCGCAGAGACACTCCCTAAATCTAGCTACATCGCTGAAGGGACCCGTCAACACGCAAGTCTTGGCGCCGGTCTGGTAGTACAAAGTCGCAAGCGCCAAGGGGGCAGCCACTGCAGAATACAACAAGTAGGGGTGCTTTCCCGCCGCAGACGAGTGTTTGTAAATCGTCGAGAAGAGCCAAGTGGAGAGCGAAGCCAAGACGACGTTCACGGCATTAGACACTGTGAAGTTGGTTCGGATGGCGGCCAACACAGGCTCGGCAGACGCGGCTTTTAGGGACGCCTGCTGGTTCAACTGTCTGATCAACTCCGGGATTTTCTTCATCGACTGGTACGCCAATGAGCCTGTCAACAACCCCAAAGACGTGGCTCCTGTGAGCGTAATGACAGTGGTGCACCTGCCCATTGTATCAGATTCTGAAGTCGGGGGGAGAAAAAGAGGCGCAATCTAAGACTGCGGGCTGTAGGAGAATTGAGGTGTGGCTGAGCTAAGGAAAAACCAGGATCAGCAAGCAGTATGATGATAAGTCTGTGGCTGTGGGGAATAGCTTGGGACGTGAAAGAAACGCTTTTTTTAATTCTCGGCCCTTGTTTGCCCTCCTGAGCCATTGCGGGAGATGATCCTCTATAAGCTTGTCCCTGGGATGCACGGGTGCGAGCCTGCCGGTCTTCCGACGTCGCGCTATTTCGGGGCACGTTATAGGGCACAGCCGGGCGGGCCTACCGTTTCAGCACGGGCACCCAATACGCATGGTGAGCAAGAAAAGATTGACATGGAAAACCACGAGACACGCTGTTTTGGCGGGTCTGTTTTCGTGCGTGTCTGTTTTCTTGTTCCTTGTTTTAAAGTAGGCCAGGTGCGAGCGAACTCTTGGTCTTCGAGTCAGTAGTTCTGCTTCAAGCCAGTAAATGTAGTGCCGATTTCCCTGTGTCACTGTGGGTAGTGAAATCAAGGCTCTTTGTAAACGCTACTCATGCGTCGAGAACAGCCGTGTCTTCAAGCGAAGGCTCTGATGACGCAGATTCGTCGGGACTGCACGTACTTTCCTGCTGGTGTCCACTTTCACAAACACTTCCATCCAAGGTGTCAGTATACGCATAAAGCCCCAAGACGCAGCAGCAGCGGCAGCGGCAAGCGCAGTCCCACGGATGTTCGAAGCGCCCGTCTCAATGGTGGGCCTGCGCACATCTCGTTCTTTCAGCTGCAAGGAGCCTATTTCAAGAAATCAGGAAGCTTGGAGGGGACCCCCTCCACACTCAGCACATCGAAACTTTCAATGAGCAATTCCACAAGTATCCGCCCGCCCCGCGCGCCAGAAAAGCGGCGGTACTCCTCCGAAACACTGGCTAGGTTCCAGCCTTGAAGCCGGCGCAAGCAGCCAATGACCGCGCCGGTGCGGTGTCTCCCCATCCCACAGCACACAAGCAAAGGGTAGTTGTCCTTGTTGCAGATGAACTCCAACGCCTTCTTGATGGTGCGCTCGTCCAACGAGTCCCACGGATTGATGTTCGTGTAGTTGTAGTCGTTGATGAGCCCGACAAACTCGATGTTTATGCTTTTGTTCAGGCAGTAGTCCAAGAAATCCTCCACCGGCTCCTCGCTGGCCAACCAGAGAATGGTCTTCAAGTTGAGCTCCTCCAAGAAAGACTGGTTGATGAGGGAAGGCTGGCCCGACCGGTAGAGCTGTTTCTCCACCGGACAAAAATTCAACGGCGGAATGATCCGCAGGATCGGCGCCTTGGGTATGAGCAACGATTTGCTGCTGTCCAAGGGGTCGATTTCGGGATCTTGTTGAGTGGCGGCCGACATGCTTTTCCTGCCAGACAAGGCCTTGGCTCGCCTCGCTGGAAAAAGCATATCAAGCTCGCGTCACGTGACCCCGCCCGAGGGGGTCGCGGCGGGTAGTGCGCTTTCTGGTCGGCTCCAAACCATGTCCCTTTTCCGGCGTCTAAAAATACAGGTGACTGTGGCCAGCCGCTTTAAAAGCCACATGTGCCCGTTGCGGTTCTGCTCAGAATTCCAGCCACAAAACTCGGGTTTCCAGCGGAAAATGTTCACGTGATTGGCCGTCTCTTACCGGGCGGTCCATATAGAGTGCTTGTGGAGAAACCTACCGGCAGCAAAAAAGCTGCCTGTACTAAAGCGAAGTAATGATCAGAAACACATTCGTCACGTGCAAAGTTCACAGAAGTACTTGATGGGTATCATGGTTCTTTTGTCGCTCTATAAAACAGCAGCGGCGTCTGCTGTTTTCTCTTTGTTTTGCCTGTCTCCTGTTTCGGCCTTTTTTCTACGTTTTTGCAGCACACTAACGAAAAACGAATATGCCTCGCTCCCAGGTGCAGGTCTCAAAAAAGCACTCCGCGCCGCAGTTAGCGCGCGGGCCAGTGCGACCTGAGGTGCCGAGCGATCTACGTGTTCACCTCGCTCCATTCCCTTGCCACCCCCACCTCAAAACCACCATGTCCAAAAAAGCCGTTGCTGTGAAAAAGGCGGTTGCCGCAGTGGCCACGCAGCAGTCCACGCAAAAAGACGCAAACCCCGACTCAGCGAAGAAACCGGCCTTGGTGAGACAAAACTCCAAATTGGGCCACCGCTTCACCGACGTGGCCAATGCCGTGGAGTCCACATACAACAACTACTGCAAGTCGTTGACCCCCCGCTTGCAGTTCATTGACATTTTCTTGGTCTTCTTGGTCGCCTTGGGAGTGTTGCAGTTTGTCTATGTGCTTTTGATTGGAAACTTCCCCTTCAACGCGTTTTTGGGCGGCTTCATCGCTTGCGTGGGGCAGTTTGTGTTGACCGTTAGTTTGAGAATGCACTACGCTGCTGTTGACGGCGGAAGCACCAGTGCCGAAACCAAGGCTGAAAAGGCCTTCCCCACAATCAGCCCTGAACGTGCAGTCGGTGACTATATCTTTGCCAGCTTGATTTTGCACTTCATTGTATTCCACTTCATCAACTAGGGGCCTCGCAAAACACACAGGAAGTGGACAGACATGATCCTGCTGCCGCGTTACACGCCGCAAAGCAAAGTGCACGATAAAAGAGATATTTGCTGTATCACAAATCTTAAAAGGGATATATTCGCGAAAGAAACGAAGGAATTGTAAGGCAGGGCCCAACGGGAATATATAAAATCTAACAGTATTTGAGTAGAAACTAGTGTCCTTGAGATAAAAGAAGACGCACTTGCTCTCGTCACGCTATGCACCGAGTATCGTGCACGCATCATGATTTGTGTGGTCGCAGTTCTAGACAATGACACAGCATCCACTCTTTTCTTTGCTCAGCGTGGTGGAGGAATTTTGTGTCTTTCTTTGGGGTGCGCTCGATGGAGCTGCCTTGTCGTCCCCAGCAACGGCGGTTCCCTCAGCGGCATTGTCGGCGTCATTATTAGCGAGGGCCGACGCAGCAAGGTCATCCGGCGCAGTGGCAGTAGCGTTTGGTGCATTTGGGTCTGCAGATTCGCCAGCCAACTCCGCACTGACCGAAGCTTCTTTGGTGTTGATGGTGCGGACCAATCCGTGGAAGGCTTCCTCGACGTTGATTCTTTGCTTGGCGGAAGCTTCCATAAATGGACAACCCAAGGATTTGGCAAACGCCAAGCCCTCTTCATAGGACACCTGTCTTTCGATCTCCAAGTCGGATTTGTTGCCCACCACCAACACAGGCACGTTGTCGGAGTCCTTCACTCTCTGGATCTGTTCGTAAAACACCAGCAACTCATCGAGGGAGTTTCTGGAGTTGATGGCGTACACAAGCAAGAAACCTTCGCCAGTACGCATGTATTGTTCCCTCATGGCCAGATACTCCTCTTGCCCAGCAGTGTCCAAGATATCCAAGATGACTTGCTGCCCGTCAACAACGCACAGCTTGCGGTAGGAGTCCTCGATGGTCGGGTCGTACTCATCCACAAAATGCGACTGGATTAGCTGGATGGTGATGGCGGACTTTCCCACACCTCCGCCTCCAACAACGACTAACTTGTATTCTTTGGGCATCCTGTAGTGTGTGCTAAGACTGGTGGCCAGAATAGGCAGGGGGTCGAAATGCGGTAGATCCTCTTCGCCCACTTGGGCGCGGGATGCACGGGTGGCGATGCTGCGGGCGCCAAGTCTCACGACCGGGCGGCGCGCCGCAACGCCAGTCTGGGAAGGTGCGGCGTGCAGTTCTACCTGCCTGCAGGCCCGCAGGCCCAACTCTGGAGCTGGAATAGTTGCCGGCCTTTTCTGGTGGTTGCATGCAACTGGCTGGTGCTTCCGAAACCCAACAAGGACGCGGGCGGGACATCTGCTGACCGCGGCTGGAACGCCCACATGCCTCATTGGATTATCCCTTGATGAATTGAGGCCGCATTGGTACATCAATGCCAGGGGGCAACGGAGGGGTTATTTCCGTTTTTGGACATCTCCACGCGAGAATCCAAAACAACCGCGTTGCTGGCGAACATTCCATAGTACAATCGTGGCGGGGCACTTGGCATTTTCGTGGTGTGTTGAGGCACGTGGATGTATCTCGTTTCCGTGGTGTTTTGACACACGTAGGGATTTCAGTGGCGGTTGTGGATCCCATTAAAATGCCCCATTTCGGTGGTGGTTGAAGCACATGAGCACGTGTTTCAGTCGAAGTCGTTTCCCCCGGTCTATTCTGAAACAAGAAGCCGTCGCCGACCCAATTCAAAACAACCCAGCATGGCGACATGACCTCGTCCTAGTGCATCGCAGCCGCTCACGGCTTCTTCGCTTTCTTCATCTTGGCAACACAGTCGTCGCAGTACCATTTGCCTTTGGGAGGGTTCTTGAAGCCAATGCACGGCAAGTGGAACCACTCGCGTTCGCAGGTGTCGCCGTCACAGCCAACCATCTCGCCAAAGGAGATCTGGTTGCAGTAGCAGTAGGTGGGCTCGGCCCCGGCGCTCCCCGGGTGGGACGCCGGCTCGGGCTCGCGGTCCTTCCGGGGCTTGGCGCCTGTTTTTTTCTTGTCCGCAGCAACAGGCGCCACGGCCTTCTCCGGCTCCTTGTCCTTGCGGCGCTTCTTGACGTTGCCGCTCGAGGACGCGGCGGGCTCCAGGGGCGTGGGCTCCTTGGTCTTGCGCTTCTTGGAGCCGTCCTCGTCCTCGGGGTCCTTGTGCGCTTTCCGCGCGGCCAAGGCCTCGCGGCGGGTCTCGGATCTCTGCGACTGGGCGCTCTTGGCGGCGTCTGCCGCAGCCTGTGGGTCCAGGATCAAGGCACGGTGGTTGAGCGGGCCCACGCGCACGGACTCCGGGATCTCGTTGTTGCCGATGATCACCTTGTAGTCGTTGTTGATGCGGTACATGTGCTTTGCCATGACGTCGGCTGCCACGGACGTCACGTGCATCTTCTCTTCGAGGCACGGGATCACCTCGTGGATCTGCTTGCGGATCCGCTGCAAGCGCGTCATATGGGCGTGCGGCGCCGCGGCCTCGGGCTTTGTGTGGAGCTGGTCGATGTACTGGCCGATGTTGTGGTTGATCAACGGGACGGTTTTGATGCACTTGGCGTCGATTTCCTTCAAGAGCGTGAAGTACTTGAACAAGTCCATGGGCATGGCCTCAAACGCGTCGGAAATGTCGTTGAGCCCGGGCAAGAGATCGTTGATGTTGGTGATGTTCTGTGCCCGTTTCTGGAACTGCTGGAAGTACTGCAACGGCTTGTCCGCCTTGGTTCTGTTGGCTAGCCGCTGCGACTTGGGGCGGGCGGGCAAGTCGGAGTGCATCCTGCAGGGCGAGGGTGAATGGGTCTGTGGACGGCGTGGCGAATTACTTGGCGGTGTGTTTTTTCGTGGCGTGCCAATTTGGTGGGGTGCGGTTTTGGTGGGGTGCCGTTTCGGTTTCTGGCGTTTTGGAGTCGGGCGCTGGGCTGCCCGCTGGTTCTGGTGACTTTTGATGTCTGGCGCGCTGCCGCTACCTGCAGGACACCGTTCAGTGCGGGTCGTGCCCTAACTAAATCCGTAGGGGCTGCAACGCTACCCGCCGGCGAGATAGTGAGACCCAAAACGCTGTAATTTAAGCAGACAGCGACGGCACGTGCACGTGCCTGGGCCACCGGTGGCAGGGAGGCGGCCCCGCGGGGCGGCCGGTCACGTGCCGCCGCTCCCGGTTAGATACATGCTGTCACGTGACGGATGGTCACGTGACGCCACGTATCCCGGCCGCCCGGCCACCAGCACACAGCCAAAGTGCGTCTAGCTCAGAATACAGCACGACGAACCGGACATTTCGAGGACCGAGTCAAAAAAAAAGGTGTGCTTATTGCGTTGCCGCCGGTCGTGCAGAAAAGCGGCGTTTCCCACAGGCGCAAAACGCAATTCGCCACCGTCCCGCCGCCCCGCGATTGCAAAATGTCACGTGAGATCCACCAAGACCACCAGGTCTTTGCAGACGGTTTCCAGCCCGCCTGGCCGTCCGACCAACATCGGCCGTTTGATAGAAACGCCACGTGACTCCAGCCCAGGCCTTGTATCCGAATTCTCGCTTGTATCCGGACAGCCTGGACAGAACCATTCACGTGCATCTGGCCGCTCATATAGGCATCGCAAATTAGCCAGGTCGCATCGTAGTTCACGTTTCTATTGCAGACTTTTCGGGGCGCCGGCACAACTCCAGAACGGCCGATTAGGACCAGCGCATCGGATTTTCTGAGCTTCGACTCCCAGTCCATATTTGCAGGCCCAATCCGGACGAGTCTTGCATATCTCTGGAGGCGCAGATTCAAGCGAGGCCCCACTAGCGAGGCTGAACGCCACACTTTCGAGCCTACCTGGGAAGACCGCAACCACCCCTAGTCAGGACTTCCGGCATCGAGCCGTTTTCGATTGTTTTTTATAGTGGAGACTTTCAGGCATCGCGTCATTTCCCGGGCAGCCAGGCATTGAGACGATATCAGCAGGACGAACGAGGGAACCGACAGGCTTTCGATCATACTAGAGGTTTTGGAATCTTCACGGAATCCCCGTCGAGCACCACTGAAGACTTTAAGGTCACCATCCGAGAGGCTTTGAAGAAAGAGGCTCTGAAACCATCGCTTCAAGCCACTGAGGACATCGGTCATCAATAGTCATCACTAGAGTGGCTTTAGGATCTTAGTGAAGACACTTGATTATCCATAGAGTGGTTCTAAGATCTTCATTCGATCATCACTAGAGTTGTTCTAAGATCTTCATTGAAGACATTCGATCATCACCAGAGTGGCTTTAGGATCTCACTGAAGACACTCGATCATCACTACAGTGGTTTCAGGATTTTATTGAAGACTTTCAATCATCACTAGAGTGGTTTAGGATCTTAGTGAAGACATTTGATTATCCATAGATTGTTTCTCAGATCTTCATTCGATCATCACTAGAGTGGTTCTAAGATCTTCATTGAAGACATTCGATCATCAC